ATATATATATTGTCTGGAGAGTCAATCTTTCACTTTCATAATAAAATCTGTCCTTTTACTTTATGAGTCACGTCTCTCAATCCAGATGTCGCTACCTAAATCTGATTTCTTTATATTTCTTTATGCTACCAGACAGCGCAGCTACTTCTCATTTACACACACCATCCGCAAGTATTTCCACGCCAYAGTTTACCTGTCCTCTCAGCCTCCGTCAGACACACACCGACGAGCTGCTGAGTGGAAAATAGGAGTTTTCTGGTGAGGTCAGAGGCTGTTAGCCACGGAGCATCATCCTCAGACATATGTGAGAGCAGCTCCGAGCAGAGCTGCTGAGAAATGACAGTTCCCATAGGGAGGCAGGAGAGGGTGATTGCACAAAGTGGTTAACTCCCACAGACGCTTCAAAAAAGTTACTTTCAACATGAAAGTGTTGGGTGAATGAGAGGGATTTGGAGTATGAAATTACTCTCCCTCACTGTGATTACTGTCTTTTTACGTGGCCACATTCTGGTTTGTGAGGGTCTAATCTGAACTTAAAACCATGGTAACGAGATTTTTAACATGTTTTCTGGGGTGTTTTAAAGCTGGGCACAAGCTGAGCGCGAACGGATGACGTGGGTTTTTTTTTTTTTTCCCCTTCTGGCGTCAGCCGGCCAGTAAAAAAAGCAACATTTGCTCCTTTTGGTCATTTTTCTTTCTTGTCTCCGGATTAAACATCCCCTCCATCGATTCACATCGTCAGCCCTCAGCTGTCCAGACGGTGGTCTCCGAATCTCCCGGGAACGAGCTCTTTCAACAATGATTCTTGCCCGGCCCGCTCCAAGAAATAAGGGAGTTTTCAGTTCAGAGCTGAGTAAAAAGTTAAATATGTTATTTTCACCACTTTAGCGCTGACTCACTGCTTTCACAACCTTGTTCCAGGAGTGTTTAGTAAGAAGGATCATCTCTCACAGACATAAAAGTATACAGGCTTGACTTAGACCGGAAATTAAACACTTTATTTTTTATTWTTTATTTTTGTACTGCGGTAAAAATGTAGGAGACAATTCCTTTGTGACCAAGAGTCT